CAGCAGCACAACAGCCACAGCCTCTGTCAGTGACCTAAGTTTCTCCATTAAGCACAGAAGATGAATCTATGGTTATTTCTTAGCAACCAAATTTGAAGGATGGAAAAACTGTGCCAGGAAAGTGGATGGCATGTTTTTTCCTGCCTCCCTTTTCTCCCCCTCACCCCCAACACAAGAAATATTTTCCTATTTATATTTGACAACACCATCTGTTTTCACTGCAGAGTTTTCTCCATTTGAGGAAGGCAATAACTTAGTCACTGTAGTTGAACAAAGGGAAAAATGAAGAGAACCCATGTCTCACTAACTTGCCAAAGTTAGAGGTGGGCACTTAGGAGAAGTGTTAAGAGGAACATTACAAACTGTATCCATTCTGGCACCAGGCAGACTCAATCCTCATAAGCAGAATCCTATTAGGTATGAAGCACTGTCCCAGATCATAAAGAAAACAAGGATGGCAAAGACTGACCCAATCCAGAATAGATTAAAAAGGTATGACCAGAAGAGTAAACAAATGAACTAGTTATTGCATAGGAGTTAGGAGTTGGAGCAAGAAAGGTACACAGGATTTGTACGGGAGAGACAGTTTAACAATAGAGCATATACTAATTAATGGAGAGGGATGGAGAAATCAAAAGGGCCTAGGTGAAGTGGGAGCTTGTGAGCACACAAGTATGGAGTATAATATTTGAGACAGAAATGACGGCAAAGATAGGGGAAATAGATAAAGGTAAAATAGCAAATAAAGTCTCAAGTGTCAGGATAGTATTTTTCAAGACATAACTTAGGTTGTGAACACAACAGGCACTTAAGAACTTATTGTTTTGTAGGTGAAAATTTAACTTTTTGAATGAACAGTCAAGTAATTTTAATGAGAAGACTTGATCATTGATGAAGTAGGCAGTCATGGTAACCAAATAAGGGAATGAAGGGAAAATGCATTTAGGGACATACTTTCATATGTTAGGGAATAATCTGGAAGCACTGGAAGTAGTTTGAGAGCAGGAAGCCTAATTTTCTACTGGAGTATATGTATCTGATTATCTTCAGAAGTACAACACAAATGAGCTTCAAAATTCCAAGTAGAAAATAGTTAGTCTTAAAAATTTAAACTTTATGATTAGTTAGTGAAATGATGCAACTGGACAAGCAAATTCGATTTTGAGGAAGCAGGCTTTTCCTGAAAGTCATAACTGACTTTTCCAAAAGAGAAATGAATTTGATCAGTGTTTTTTTGGACTGTATGATATGTGAATACTCTGGTAGGATTAAATAGTCAAATATTTTATACAATTCTGTGAAACACGCAAAGAACATTCACTTAAAACATACACAAAAGGCTGCCAGTTATATCACTGGGCATGTTGAACAGACTTACAAGCAAACCGTCAACTTGGGAAAATACGGACCCTTAACCATTGAAAACATCAAGAGGCGTTACTATAAACTGAACCTCTGCTTAAAGTCAAATTAAAATTACACTAATTATAAAGTAATGTTCAATTTGTTTCATAACTGGTTAAGTAATCAAAGAGTTCTGTCCTAGAGATGATTTGATTTCATAAGGTGACTTAATTACTTTCAGTGCCAAAAAAGGTTTTTTTTAAAATTTACCAGTTTAGTTTCTAGGGATTTTATTTCTATAAAACTTATTACATGAATTAAGTCCAAATCAAACCAAAATACTTTCATGCATTATGTAACAAAATCCTTCTCTCACAAACACTTTATTTAAACATTGCCAGCAACCGGCTTATGGGGACAAACCAAAGCTTATGGGGACAAACCAGGAAGTGAAACCAAGTATGAGATTACATTGTGAAAGCCAAATAAAAATGAAAGAAGACATTTGGAATTAGTGGAGGCACTACTAAGATTTCATGTAAAAGCCCATTCCCTTGGAAAGATTATTATAAACAAAGCAATAAGAGGAACTGCAAAGGAATGGATCTTCATTGCATTGCTTGGCAATTCCCCCAACCATCTATGCAAATGTGATTTCCTGTGGCCAGCCAGGCTCATCTGAAACAAGACCACTCATCCAACCTGCCTAGCCAACAGAGTGCGGGGCCTGGCTATCAGTTCATACTAGTGAAATCGATCTGACACAAAACAATTACAGTCTTTTATGACTTGCCTGGGAAAAAGTATATCTTTTGTTTCTTAGGTTAACAGGTAAATCTGCTTTTTCCTCATAGTTTGGCTGAGGTAACTGTCACATTTTGTATATGTCTGTGAAAGAAAAATTCTCTAAAAATAGGAACTACTTGATTAGCTATTATCACTTTCTTCTTTTTCTTTTTTAAAGATTTATTTTTAATGGCAAGGCAGATCCACAGAGACAGAGAAAGATCTTCCATCTGCTGGTTCACTCCTGAAATGGCTACAATGGCTGAAGCTGAGCTGATCTAAAGCCAGGACCTAGGAGCCTCAATCAGGTCTCCCACACTGGTGCAGGATCCCAAGGCATTGGGCCATCCTCCTTTGCTTTCCCAGGCCACAAACTGGGAGCTGGAAGGAAAGTAGAGCAACTGGGACATAAACCAGTGCCCATATGAGAACCTGGTGCTAGAAAGAGTAGAATTAGCCAACTGAGCCATTATACTTGGCACTTCAGTTCTTTTTAAACCAAGATTAGTGACCCATATCAAAAGTGCTTATTAAAAATCAAATGATTAGCGATACTATTCTCAAAAAATCTTGTGACTGTTTAGTTTTTCTTCTAAGAGGGATATTAAGTGGAACTGTCAATTCTTGGCTCCATTATCAATGCCCTTGTTTCTAGGAGTCTGAGTGTGGGACAGGACATAGAAGATACTCAAGAGCCCAGCGCAACTGCTCAATTGGCTAATTTTCCTCTTGCAAGTGCCAGCATCCCACATAGGTGCTAGTTTCATGCCCTAATTTGGCTGCTCCACTTTCCATCCAGCTCCCTACTTATGTCTTGAAAAACCATTGGAAAATGGGACCCACATGGGAGACCCAGAAAATGCTCCTTGCTTTCAATCAGTTCAGCTCCAGCTGTTGCAGCCATTTTGTAAATCAATGGATGGAAGATCTTTCTCTGTCGTTCCTCTGTCTGTCAAATCGCCTTTCCAATAAAAATAAGTAAATCTAAAAAAAAAAAAAAAAACTTTCAAGCAACTGATGAGTGATTTACTGATTACGTATTTTATTATTTTTAATCTGAAGCAGGATTCGAACACATTTAGTGTTACATTAAATACAGTACTTTAAAGAAACACCTCCTTACCAGCTAAATAAATAAGAAGGTGACCTATGGCACTGCACAAACACAAAGCAAATGTGAGTGACACTCAACAGGCAGACACACTGCTGCTAGTATCAGAACACAAATTTAAAGGTGGTGGACAGGACAAAAAATAAACATAATCAGTGATGGAAAACACATTTGCATGCCTCATTGTATACAAACATATGTATGACAAGAAAATCAAAGGTTAGTAAAACTAATATGCACGTGAGGGCATACTCTGTGCCAAGAATAGTGTCACACCTCAGAAAGTAGGCCAATTGTGTTGCCACTGTGTTCACAGCCTGAAGAGCCCACTTAGGGGTCGAATTCAGCAAGAGAAGTCAGTGTTGAGGCAGGCCCCACCCATGTCAGTCCCCTTTTCTCTGAGCACCCTCTTTCTTCCTGCCACTCCCTCACTTACTTTGCCAAATACCACATTTCAAGTAGTAAGCTGATACTTTATGGTTGGCTGCATTCAGCGGATTCTCTTGACAGAGAGAATTTATTGAGAATATGTTACGGATGGGTTGGATAGGACAAGAATGTATACATCAGTTTATATCTACCTTTAAAATAATAAAAAATACAGGGGGTTGGGAAATGAATATAGAACAGGAAAACCAATGATCAAGGATTAAATAGCATAGTTGAACAACTCTAAACATTGGAAAAATGTTGACATAAATATATAGGGCATTCTCTTTTGATATGGTAACTTAAATCATGCATGATTAATACGACTTTAACATAAGGACACTAGATCAGAGAGTGAAAAATAAATTGTCAATGACACAGGACCAATGAACAAGAATTTGATCCCATAATTTTAACAACAAATACTGTGTTCTTGCAACCATCCAAAGTCACCACTCTCGGGTAAATGCTTGGTGCAGGGAATGGAGAATGCATCACAGGCAGGGGGAGCATCTCCGCCTTTAGAGATATGCAGGAGCTGCAGCACAGTATCTCCAGCTGAGCAAGGGTAAGAGTAACCAGGTCCAGAATGAAGAGCAAGGAGGCAGCAAATGCCACCAAGCAAAGATACTTTTCACTACCAGAGGAGAATGACAATGCAAATGGGGTATTGAGGCTTCTAGGGCTTTTAAGATTACAGGCTGGTTTGAATGAATAGATTTAAAGGAATGAAGCCGGAATGGTGAGACAAGAGGAATACACTGGGGCAGAAACAGGGAGGTGAGTGAGAATGAAGAATCAGGGTCACTTGAGCTTATTTGGCCCATGACCACTGTGAGACGCAGTTAAGAAAATAAGAGCACTGGCATGCCAATAGCTCCAATAGAAAGCAAATATCCTCTTACACAGAAACCAAACCAAAGGGAGAAAATCTCAGAGTACAATCTGGGGCCCACAAACCGGGGTGAGAGCCCTAAACCGGGCAGAAATCTGGGGTGAAAATCTGGGTCCATATGGCAATCCAATCAATCATAACCCAAGAGGAACAAATGGTCATCTCCAACTCCATCTGTTAAGCTGAAAACCTATGTCCCAACTTCCTCAACAACATTAAGTTATCCTAAGAGACATGCAACAAATAACCTGGACACATTTACAAGCTGCCGACATTCACATTCTACCCACATTCCACTACTGCTAGGCCTCACTTCTCCTGGAACCCCCGACAGCACACAAACCAGAAATAACATTGCTATCTTCATTGTCCTACCTTAGCAGTAGACAGAGGGTGAAGAATACAGACACACAGGGACCATGCTCAGGGGATTACCTGCCCTGGAGGGAGGCGGCAGTGCATCAGAAGCACAGGACCAGGCAGTCCCTGTTCTGAAGTCCTGAAGTCTTCAAATCTCGAAGTCTCGAATTTTCAGGTCTTGAACTATTCAGGTCCCTGTTGTGGCACCAGTTCTCAGGGTTCAGTCCTGCCAGCAGGGCCCCGAGTTCACAGAGGGTGAGGCAGACGGTGCCCTTCGGTTGCAAGAAGCTCCAGAGACAAGCTGGAGAGGAATGTCCCTCTATTCAGTCCAAGTTCCAGGTTTATAAAGGTCTAGGGAAAGGGAGGGCAAGAGGGCGTTTTCAGGTAGTCCCTTCACTCAATAATGACACTGTGATTGGATGAAAGGCACACCTAATCCTGTTGACCTTCCAATCATATCAGAGGTCTCATTCTATATACAAGGTTGAAAGTTACACCCTAGATCATGGCAAACAAGCTGTAGGCCACGCCCACTAGGTAGCAGGCAGAGACTCGAGGATGATTTCCCACAAAAAATAAAATAAATCCTTAAAAAACGGTGAATTTGTAGTATTTCTGAGTCATCAAAGTGGCAAGATTTAGCAGTCAGTCAGAAATACAAACTGGAGCTCCAGGGAGAGGAGTGGAGTTGCTATTTTTTTTTTTGCAAATGTTGGGCTTAAAGCTCTGTACTTGGTAATTTGGGAAAAACTGTTTAAAATAATAGATTAAGTATAGTCTCAGTCCATATCACATATAAAAAGTAATTAATTACCATTCTTTCTGAAGGTTCTAATTGAGTGATGGGATAAGTTTCTTATAAAGATAATGAAGTTCAGTCATATAGTGTGTATATTCTAATGTATATAAACACAAAAAACCTATTTGGACACCTTCGATTTGGCTGTCCAGCTAGAGGTAAACTCACTGCCTTCCTAATCACGAACTACAAACTCTTTAACAAAATATGTAAGGACATAGTTTTAATTTTGCTTCAGTTAGCCAGCTGTAGGTAACTGCTTTGGTTGCCTTGTACCTAGGCAAGTGTTATAGTGCTCTAAGAGAAGCAGCCTGGTTAACACCGAAAGTGTCCCACCATACCTGCCTATTCTATTTTTCAAAGATATGCATTAAACTCTGAGTGCTGCTAGAGTGGGGTGGGGGTTGCCAGGCAAGGGTGGGCCACCCAACACCCAGGCATGTTGTGTGCTGGGGGAAGGGAATGGGGCTGCAGATTGCCTAGAGAAGGGCATCTGGGGACCTGTTGGGGGCATTGAGCGCATGTTTGGTAGGTGAGGAGTGACTCCTAGGGGCTTCCCCAGGCAGGGCCACTGTACTCGCAGGTAACATGGGGGCAGAGACAGGGTAGTCTAGAGGGGAAACCAGAGGATATGTCCGAGTCTGCACCTGCCCATGTGGGAAACCTGGGCTGGGCTAAGTGACATTGCTGTCTGTCAGTACACAGAAAAGCTGGAGCTGGGGGCATGCCTGCCTAGGTTATGCAGCAGTACCTGCCCACCAGTGTCGGAGCAGGGAGTGACCATGTCAGGCTGGGCTGCAGCACCCACTGGAGTGTGAGAGAAGCACATTTGGGGGCAGATTCTGCAGGTGACTTGTGGGCTTGCCTCTGTGAGACTGCCACCCTCACCAGTTTGTGTGAGAGCTGGTGGTGGTGACAGCCTGAGAGAGGCTAGACCACAGGACTGACAGTTGTGAGAACTGAAGCTGAGAGGAGGTTAAGCTGGGCCAGACTACAACACCTGCAAGCACATGCAAAGGCCAGGACTGAGTGCCAACCATGCCATGCAGAACCATAATACTCACTGGCTTCTGTGAGAACCAGTTCTGGGAGCCAGCCTGGCAAGAGAACTTGGGGAACTCATCTGCTAGGCTGTACCTCCCACTGGGGAACATGAGAGCTGGGGCTGGGGGTGGGCCAGGCCAGGCAGGGCTGCAGCACTCATTGTCACATGTATGGGCTGAGTCTTGAGGCTGGGCCAAACCACAGCATTCACTGGCACACACAAGAACTAAGACAGGGTGTTGGTCACACTGGGCTGGGCTGGGCCATGCTGTAACACTGATTTGTGAGGTTTGAGACTGGAGTCAGACCATGTCAGGTTGGACTGAAGCACCTGTTGGCACAGGCAAGATGCAAGGCTGGGAACAGGCCTGATAGCAGAACTTGGGAAACTTCCCTGCTAGGCTGCAGCTCAGACGGGTGAGTATGAGAGCTGGATCTGGGAGTAGAATAGGCTGGGCAAGGCTGTAGCATCCATCAGCATGCACGTGAGCTGGATCTGGGTGCAGCTCAGACTGGACTAGGCTGTAGCACCCACTGGCAAGAGTCAGAACAGGTGTTGGCCAGTTGGGCTAGGCTGTAGTATCTGCTGATGAGTGCTGGGACTAGGGGGCAGCATTGTCAGGTTGCATTACAGAATCTACTGGCACTCGTGAGATTTGGTTCTGGGAATGGGCCCAGCAGGGAAACTTGGGGAACTTCCCTGCTAGGTTGAAGATCCTGCTGGTGGGTGTAAGAGCCAGGGTTGGAGGAAGGCCAGGCCAGGTTAGGCTGCAAAACTTGCTATTTCATATGAGGACCGGCGGTTAAGGTGGGCTAGGCTAGGCAAGATTGTTGCATAGGCCAGCAAGAACTGGGATTGAGGATGGGCTGGGCTGAGCCAGGATACAGCACCTTTCAGCAAATGCTGACTCGGAACAGGCCATGCTAGACTGGGTTGCAGCACATGCTGGAATACTCAAAACCTAAGTCTGGCAGCAGGCCTAGTAGGAGATCCTTGGGGACTCCCCTGTTGGGCTGCTGCTTCCACTGATGACTGTGAGAGCTGGCACTAGGAAAAGTTGGGCAGGGCTATAGCATCTGTTGGCTGGCATGTGGACTGAGCTTAGGAGTGGTCCAGGCTGGGCTAGGCTGCCATGTTCACTGATAGAAGAGCCAGAATGAGTGTCAGCCAGCAGGGCTAAGGGGCAGCATCCATTGGCAAGTGATGAGTTTGGGTGGAAATCATGTTAGGCTAGACTGCACTACCCTCTGGCAAGTTCAGGATCTGAGGCTGCGAGCAGGCCTGGTAGAGGAGCTACAGGAACTCCCCTGCTAGGCTGCAGCTCCTGCTGCTGAGCCTGAGAGTCAGTGCCTGTGGTGAGCCAAGCTGGACAAGGCAGCAGCAACCACCCGTTTGTGTGAGAGATGGGGCTGAAGGTGGAACTGACCGGCAGCTGCGTTCACCAGTATGTAAGGTGTGCATTGGCTGGTACAGATGATGAACCAAAAATAATAGTGTACTATCTCGCACATACAAGAGTCAACACTAAGGTCAACTCAGACAAGATTTCCCCAACTGGATCACTGGACTCAAATCATGGCCACAGGGAAAAATCATAAGATACGTGGTATGACTTCAGAATACAAGTATCAGAACAGGGCCTCCTCAGTTGCTGCTGTCCATGCAGTGGGTAGCATGCCCAGGTGCACATGGGCAGCATGGCAGCTAGGTCATATAGGCCAGAACAGAACATCGAGTGCCTTGTCAGAGGATGGAAAGTAGAACAGGTTGGACAACTCTCCTGGCCAAGCTTTGCAGTAAGTATCTGAGTCTGTGGATATACCAAGGTTGACTTGGTCAACAAACAGACCTTGGAAAGATTTTCTCAACCCTGGTGTAACAAAGCTGACAAAAGTCTTAGAACTACTGAAACCACTCAAGTAACACCATTGGAGCACTATTTGCCACATCAGTCTCTAAGGTGTCATCAAATGACTGCCTCCTATCTCCAGGTGCTGATGTAGTTGGACAGCAAGTAGTAGTCCTCCCCTTTTTTTCTCTCCAGAAGACATTGGAGGAAAAAGCAAAGAACTGAAACATCCATGCCAACCACTCTTCATACCTTGACTCTACCCACCCTAATCAGAGGTCCATCTGGGCCTCCATCTCTCTCAATTATGTAAATAACATTAAAAATAAAAAATTAAAAACATTTTTGTGCTAGCTCTCTCAAACTACCTCAGAACTTTAATTTGTACTTCAAGTTACTAGTTACAGAAATAGCAAATACATTTACCCTATTTATAGGATTAACAGAAGCATGAAGCAATTTCAGATGTGTATATTTTACATTTTTATAAATGTCATCTCATTCGCTAGCCTTTACTGAGTTAGAAAAGGGATCCTTAAAAAAATCAAATATTGTAGGGTTGCTCCCATTTTGTTATTTACAGAATTTATCTCTGCTTAATGTCCTTCATAATTGTTTTGTCTACCTTTAGCCTGTACTCACAACACAGTACCTCTAAGTGCACAGTGCTTCCTTCTGCAGGCTTCACTAAGTTATCTGTATCACTAAACCCAGACAGGAGAGGACTGTGAACAGATCGCAGTCATACAATTATTTCAAGAACTTAACAGGTGCTTCTTCTTAGCAATCATGTCTGAACCATCTTCCAACTTTATCTTGAACTTTGATTTCTACTTACATGCCTCAAAGAAATTCCTGCAGGCCCCTTGTCCTAGAGGGATTCTGAAGGGCACTGAAGGTTATGGGAACAAAGGAATCAATCCAGGCGAGATGGCAGCCATGTATCAGCCCGTGTTCTACTGATGGCTTCTCAGCCCAGCTCTGTCTTATGAACAGTGATTCTTCTCCTTCCCAACTTATTCTCATTTTTGGTTCCTCTGATCTCAATTCCTGTTTGCAACATCCGTGTATGTTTAGATACGGCTTTCAGTATTCTGACCTCAGGTTACTTAAGTTTGACATTTGTTATTTATGTTAGTTGAAATGTGTGTGTGCATACGTAAACTTAGAAAATAGATTAATCTTGTACCTTACAGACCAAAGACTCACATAATTTAAAATTATAAAAGAAATATTTAAGATTTTTTTTTTTTTACTTATTTTATAGGCAGAGCCTCAGAGGGAAGGAGGGGAGAGAGGAAAGTGAGGGGGAGGAGAGAAAAGGAGAGGGAGAGAATTTTCTGGTTCACTTCACTGGTTCACTCACAACCACCTGGATGGGCCAGGCTGAAGTCAGGAGCCAGAAGCTTGTTCCAGGTCTCCAATAAAGGTGCAGGGGTCCCAGTACTGGGTTCATATTCCACTGCTTTCCCAGGTGCATTAGCAGGGAGTTGGACAGGATGTGAAGCAGCTAGGATTCAAACCAGCACTCATATGCGATGCCGGCATCACAATGTGGAGGGTTAGCTTGCTAAGTCCCAATGACAGCCCATTAAGATACATTTTCTAGACTCTTCTCAGGCTTCTTTTTGTACTTTCCTGTCTGCATTAGAAAATTTAAGAATTTCCTCATTGTCCTATTTGATAACTTACATTCATTACTCAATGTAATTTATTTCAGGTCAATTCTGTGAATTACCATATAATCAGATA